TGGAAAGAGATTCCACTCAAACAACGAAGTCATCTCTGAAGTGAACGAGTATTTTGCACAACATGACAAATCGACCTATTGTGATGGCATAGAAAAAAGCTAGAACATTGCTGGAATAAGTGCATTGCTAACAAAGGAGACTACATTGAAAAGTTACAAAAAAAGTTTTAACATTATTTTGTTTGTTGTTCTATTTGAGGCCACAAACTTTCCAAACGGCCCTCGTACATTTTGTGCCCTTTGTGTTAAAAAACATCAGTTTTGACATTGTCCCATCAGGGCCAGATTTACAAGTAAGCTATGTAAGCTGTTGCTTACGGCCTCGACTTTCAAGGAGCCACAAACATTTCTACAAAAAAGAAAATTGAAGTCAAATTTTGTAATAAAAATTTTTTTACAAACCAACAAAAATACACTTCACTTTTTATTTTGTGTAGTATTTCATTAATTTTTTTAAGAATTAACATAAAGTCTTTTTTTTTAAATTGATAAAACCAATTAAAAAAGAGATTTTTTTAATGGAACAGATATAAAAATTTAATTAAATTCAGTTATAAAACATAAGACTAGTGAAACCTCATCTTTTTCTTTCAATATCCATATTAAATCACAGACATAGTCTGATTTAATTCTTTTCTTTTTATGATTGACTTCTAAAATTGTGAAGGATTGGTAAGGAGCCTTAGAGTTCAGCTTAGGGCTTCAAAATGCTTAAATCCAGCCTGTGTCCCAAACAAAATTACTGGCATTTTAAACTTTAAGAAAATATCTTTTAAAATTGACAGCATAACTTGTTCATATAAAGCTGGACAGTCAGCAAACTTTTGCCAATTCTTAACAGTCTAATCCATCTTTCAGAATTTGGAGCAGCTCATAAATATAACTGACCGATTTCCAAATAATCATCTGTTTTTCATGTGGTAATAGACAAAATATTGGAATCCCATAAGGCTTTGAAATTGCAACTTGAAATGCAACAGATATATAGTGATAGAAAGCTTTGCTTTTTCTATCACTATTTATCTTTACTGCTGATAATACACAAGAATGATTCAAACGACCCAAATAGAATAGTTTTGTTTTTAAACACCAAAGGGCAAGCATCCAGTGAAAAATGCAGATTTCATTATAAGTTTTAGTGTTGATTAAGTGTTTTCTTTTGCTAAGTTCTTTTCCCGTACTCAAAATTGTAATTTTTTAACTTTGTATATATATTTCTTTTTTTTTTGGCAAATCATTGATTTGTAGTTAGTTACTTTACAGAATACTAATTACAGAAAGTCAAGTACCAGTTATGGCTAGTTTTCTTAGTCTTTAAGAACTCTGGTGTAAATTTTTTTTAACCCTTATAAATTTTTTTGTAATACTCTTGCTACTTTTACAAAGCCTATAATCTACAATCCAGAAAGAATTTTTTCCAACATGTAAAGTAAGCTATCATTATCTATAGTCTGTCACAAAAAAGTATATATCACACATGTTGATATGAAAAAAAAAAACAAAAAAAAATTAATAACATTTAAAAAAACTTTATTTATTTAATAAGAAATTTAGTGTTCCAGGCAAAAGAAAACTATAATAATATGTTGAAATATGTTATATTTTGTTATAAGGAAAAATACTACCAACACTAAAACCATTAAAATGCAGTAAAATTTCTTTATTCTCTACCATTTTCAATTGACTTTATCAACCTTCTTCAGAAAATTACATTCTAAAATAATGAACAACATACAACATTCTAGAATACATTTAATTTTAATACAGATATTTGATAAGGAAAAATATTGATAATTTCAAACCACAAAAGTAAATATACATAAGAAAAAACTTTTTGAATGTATTTTTCAAAAGCATATAATGTTAACAATTTGTGGGATATTTTTTTGCTTTTATAACTGATGTCATTCTGGGAAGCATTAATTTAACCAAATTTTCCATTGCATTTCAGTCAATTTTGGATCATTCCTCTAAAAGTACATATTTTAGATCCTCTTTGCTTCTGATATCATGTTTTCTTTATTTGTCACTCCAAATGCTCACATAAATGTTCTATAGGATTCATATCCAGTGACTGAGATGGTGTTTTCAGTTGTCTGTGAACATGGTACAACAACCACTCCTTTACAATCATAAATACAGTAGAGCATCGTTTATCCGAATCAATTGGGGACTGGGGTTGTTCGGATAACTTATTTTTCGGATAACCGATTATGTACGAAAAAATATATTAACCTATCNCAAACACCATCGTCAAACTTTTAGGCTTACGGGAAAGCGGCGCCGAACGTCACACGTACACGTTTACACGTTTAAAACGTGCGCCTCAACCTCTCTATTGTATTCTTGTTTTATAAAGTATAATTAAAATGCCTTCTTCATTTATCGAGAAAAAACAGGAGTTTAAAAAAGTGGTTTTTCATTAAAATATTCTACATGAATGTGTGCAAAAGCAATTTAGCTTTAACAAAAAACAAATAATAATTATACAGTATTGATATTTTGAATAAAAATGTTGTTAATAATATGTTTGGTTAGGGGTTAAATATAACCTACTGAAGGCCGTTTGGGAAATTCATTAGTTTATGGGAGCTCGCAACTTCAGACATAAATCGTAGAGCAATTTTTTGAGCTTTTTTACCTCATACTTTTAGAACAAAAATCGTGTCTTTTTATGCCGTAAAATACGGTAATTGGAATCTCAAGTGTCAATTTTATTCTCAAATACTGTCACTTTTTTAACATGGAAAACTTTAAATTTTTCATTATTTCTATTGTAGAAATAATGGAAAATTGTCATTTTTCTGTATTATTTACGAAGAAAAGCAATTTTTTTTGTCATTAAACACATTACACGATGAAATGCTGTCAGTGTATCTTGAATCATTAAGATATCAGTGTCATCATAACATATTTATGCCGGTATGTTTTGCAAAATATAAGACTTGAGTAGCGGCCATAAACTAAAAAAGGGATAAGCTAAAGGCATAAGCTAAAAAAAGGCATCGTACGTACAGTACAATATATAAAATATGCAGTGTATATATTGCATATATTATGCGTTAATAAAGGGGCATTATATATATATATATATATATATATATATATTATGTATAGGTTATACTGTACAGGTATCCCTTTATTAACGCATTTAATCCCTCGATGCTACCGCATATATCAAAATCGCATTAATCAAGTACAGTGGTACCTCGGTACTCGACCAAACAATCACGACTCACTAGAACAAATTTTTGGTTAATAATAAATATTTTCAAATTTATTTTATCATCAGTGAAAAGTTTTCTGTGATAAAAATGAGTAACTTATTTAAAAATAAAACGAAACTTAAGAACTCCATTCCGGATTAAGAAAACGGCAAACCGACAAAAAAGGGGGCATATGCCCCAAGTGCCCAATGTATGGCGCCCGAGACTTGAGTCACCAACTTGGGACAGTCTGAAACTGGTGTCTCAAGCCTCTCTAGATTGCTCAAGAGGCACCTGAAAGGGCGTAAGTTTCAATCGGACGTTGAAGTGGAAGAAGCAGTTCGGAAATGGTGCAAACATTAACCCACTAGTTCTATGAGCAAGGAATTGAACGTCTGATGTCACAGTGGGACAAGTGCCTTACTCATCAGAGGATTACTTTTATTGTAATGTACTGTACCTACTAAATAAAATCATTGGTCGGGTTTCATTTGAATGACCCTCATAATTGGTCTGAGTTCGCACCTCACCAACGGACTGGCCGTGTAGAATCTTTCGAGCTTTCTTCGTGTATCTAATAGGTAGATAAGGGCGGCTGTCAAGGGCATTCTCCTTTTTTTTCAAGATGCTGCGTTGTTATCACATTAACTAACTGGCCAAGAATGATCCATGAAAAATTAAACAAGACCAACGATTCGTATTGTTATGTAGTACCGGCAAATAATCTTTAATTTGTCGATAGCCGGCTAAACACATGTAACCTATCAAAATGTATTAAAGTTTATTAATATAATTTTATGATGATAAAAATAATTATCACATTATAATAATTTATAAACGTTAGAAAGTCGCTGTAAACTTCTTGGGTTGAGACAACGCAAAACAAGGACGTTCTGCCAAGGAAATGCCTCTCCGAAGAACTTTATACGGGAAACTAGCTCTCTTCATGTATTAGACACACGAAGAAAACATAGAAAACTACATTTGGGCAGTCCGTTGTTTATCTCCGAACCGGGATCAACTATTAGTGTTCACTAGTTTTATCCACTTTATTTCTATTATTTGTTCTTTTCGCCCTGCAGGTCTAAAAAGACCCTTTTTAAAATCAGTCCCATCGTAGGTTCGGCCAGACCCAATGTAAAGCAGCCGTGTGGTGAGAGACAGGATCCGACATATCTGAGACAAACCATCTCCAGAAAATCCTGGGGCTTTTCGACCTGCATGGATTGGATCCTGATCTCCAGTGAGGTAAACAGAGGCCTTATCTGTTACGGTTATCCGGTCGTTCATCCAACTGGCTGTTTTATCTATTTAGCCACTGGCGANTTTAAAGTCAAACTAAAATTAAAAATGAACTTGTTTATGTTTAATATTAAACATGAAAGAATGGTTTTCTCCTGGTTTGATTGGTGCAATTGTTCAACTAAATATTGATATTTAGAAAGGCACAAATGCAAAATCAGAACGAGACAATAACAAAAAATATTGCTTTGTAGCAATTTTTGAAGGACGAACTTCAAATGCTTTTGAAAACGACGACCTAACAAGTTAATTGATCCTATTGTGTCAACATTTCTTTGTTGTTAAGATAAATCCGATTGGCTGATAAAATATATCTACGCGTCGAAAACCAATCAGGTTGCTCGTATCATATTCCAACTTAAAGTTGGGTTAGTATCAGTTATAGTATAGTTTTCATTGTAATATTTTATCGCATTTTTTCCAATATATGACAATAATGTGGAATTTTTTGTACTTTTATCCGAAAGATCGTAACTTCTAACATGTACTTACGCTGCCCAACTGGATACATATTCGGCAGACTCCAAGGAAGCCGAAGAGTTTTGGAGACTTCAGCTAGTACTTCCTATCTACACAATACACACTTCAGCTAGTTTAGCGTCCAGTGACGTCATTGGCGCTCATTCACCTGGCGAAGGAAGTTATTATGAAGATTTCAGTAACAGATCATTGACGTGATACTATCCACTTTGATAGAAGTCAATCTTTTCGTTTGCTAGCCGATTTTTCCCCTACGTAATATATACTGTGTATATATATAAATATCATTAAAACAAAATTCTTAAATTAAATTATATAAAACAGAATTGTTACAATAATATAAACTAAACAAATGTTTTTCAATAAAAAGTATATATTTTTTTATATTCGTCAGTGCTAAATTTTATTCACAATACGCATTACTTAGAATGTATCTTATATAATTAAGATAATAATTTAATTGATTTATTAAAAATAAAAATAATTAATACTTTCATCGCTGCATATATCTCACTTTTTATATTAAAATCAATATATTATGATATTATATACAGGCACTACACATATTGTATACGTTTATTGCATATAACGTACAGTAAATTCGTAGATTATCAATATATTACTGTATATTTATTAATAAAACCTTTTTATATTACATACTTTACACGATAAAAAAAAAAATTAAATTGCATATTTATAAATATTGCTAATTTATAATATGCCATATATTATTTTTTAATTAGCAAATGATTTCATATTTTTAAAATATAAAGTTTTAAATGTCATGATATAAACGAACCTATCCTCTTCGTCGGATTGAAAATTAAAAATAATCTAATAAATAAAAGAATAAAATATAGTATATATTTAAATAAATATACTGTACAGTAGTTTCATTCACAATAAATATCCTATTACTTGATTTGTTTTCTATATAGAAGTGAAAAAACTTCGAAATATTACAGAGATAAAGATCACATAGAATCTTTCCTTCTAGAACGGTCCTGTGATCACATAGAATAAAAATCATATAATATATATATATATATCCAGGAGCGTATTTAGGAAAGTACGCAGCTGCATCTCCTCGGGATTTTCACGAGCAAAACCTGGTACCTTAAGTAATAAAACATTTTGTAAGGCCTATTGTTTACTTCCTGCACTCCCTCTAATGATTTCTGGATCCATTCTTTTGTGTATGTGTGTGTGTGTGTGTGTATATGTTACCGGCCAAACCCGATTTCAGGCCAAACTAGTTTATCCTACGCATGTCAGGATATACTAGTTTAGCCTAGGACAATCTANATGTACGAAAAAATATATAAATTTATTCCATGTTGAAATTTTTCTCCGTTGTGTGTCACTTTGCATTGAATTTTCGTCGATGTTAAGCTTAACGTACTTTTTAAAATAATAATCGTGGCTATTGTATCATTAAAAATTATTTCTTTATTTTGTACAAACAAAATAAATATATTGAAAAATATAAAAACAATAAAAAATTGTACTTCAGAAGTTAATTTAGTATCAAAAACGTAAAATATTTGAGTAACCCAAGACATGGCCAAAGATTGCAGCGCCACAGCACTAGCAAAAATTTAAATTTGCCAACTGGAATTCTTTCAGATAATCGACTTTTGGATAAACGACGCTCTACTGTATGTTTAGAGTCATTATCTTGTTAAAAAACAGATAACCCATCAAGCCCCAATTTCTTGCTGCTTTCTTTTAAATTTTGTTTTAAGATATTTAAATAGTATAATGGACCAATATTACTATCTATTACTAAATTTCCATCCAAATGTTGCCATATACCTCAGACTTTTACAGTTGTATACATAACCTTTTTTGCATTAGATGATTTCTGTTCTCTGAATTTTTTTAAGTGCTTTTCTGAACTTTTTATTTTAAAAAACTGATAATATTATGGGACCTAAAAAGAGTGTTCACTATAGAAACTAAGCAAGAGATAACAGTCAAGGTAGAAAGTGGATAGATGTCTGATGTTGCTAGGCAGTACGGCTTCAACAGGTCTACAATGGATACAATCTTAGCTAAGAAAGATATAATCAAAAAGACTCAAGAAGATAAAGAGTAATGAAAATCAATGAGAAACAAACATGTGCCATCCATGAAAAAATTTCCTTGCAGATATATTCTTCTGGTTTAAACATTCAAATATCAGAAAAGTTGACTTGAAACAGTTTTGTGATTTTGTAGATATTAAATTCAAAGTATCATTAAGCATATTAATGTTAGATGACTTAGCCTTGAGAAGTATGTCAACAGAGTTTTAAAAATGTATGAGGCTTTAAAGTCATATTTTCTATCAAAAGATGAAACTGCTGTTTATTTTAAAAGATTGGTATGGATCTTCACGATCCAATGACAGAGGTGTATCTCATTCTTTCTAACCACTCTGCCAGTTCTTTCCCAGTTCAATCTGACTCTTCAATCAGAAGAGCCTTGCATTTACAGACTATTTTGATGCAGGACCTGCTTAAAAAATTAATGGGAAGATTTATCAGTACTTATCAGTTTTTTTTTTATTTGTGGTTTTAGGCCCCTTACTGCTCAGAGAGCACAAAGAAGCCAAAGTACTTATCAGTTAGCAGGGTGCCAGTCAATTGATGCGATCTAACTCAAACCTAAACCTAACCTACCCATTTGGGAAATCGTCTCTGAACCAATTATCAACCAAATACACATCTGTTGGACACAGGGGAGGGGTTGAGCTTCAGTGGACATCCATTTATTTCATTAAATTTAATATAGTTCATGCATTTTATTATATTTACTAGCTATACCCGGCCATGCATTTCTGTGGCTCAAAATTTATCTATTATAAATGTATAACACTCCCCACGGGGGAATTTCGAAAAATCCCTTCTTAGTGCACATTCTCTTGATGTACCCTATTAAAACACAATAAAAAATGCAAAAAAACCACATCTAAAATAGTATATAGTATAATAGAAGCTGAGTTCTTCACAGTAAGCCCTAATTTTGTCCCTCTTCCTCGCGGGGGAATTTCGACATCTATATACAGTGGAACCCTGGTTAACAAATGTAATCTGTTCCACGAGTCCATTCATTAACCAAATTGTTCGCTAACTCACGGATGCACAACCTGCGGCTCGCGGGCCACATACGGCCCCCTATCAATGTTTATGCGGCCCGCGGACGGTACAGGCCAAATCCCTTCTTTCGAAGTTTCTAAGTGTAGAACTTTTTCCCTTTCACAAAGTCATTAGCACCCAACTGTTTTATGACTTTCCCTGAGGTGAGAAATGGGGGATTGTTCTATAAATAAGTCTATTTTTAGCTAACACTTTCTGCTTTAGATATCGAATATTTTAAAATGATGTTAGAACATCATTTCCGATGTTATCGGGAAGTTTCTATTTTGGCGGAAAGTCTTCAATTTTATGCTTCGGAAAACTTGCCTATTCATCTAAATAGCGTCAAATAACAAAAATACGTGAAAATAGCGCTGAAAAACCATNTTGCAAAAACAAATCAATGTTATAAATAATTTTATAAACAAATAAAATGAAGAGATAGTATCTGCCATTTAAGTGTGGAGCAGTATATCAGAGTTGTTAAACAAAACAAAGCTAAAAGAAACTGCAATTTCTTTCTGCTGAAGATTATTTTAAAAAGTAGAAAATATGTTTTGGAGCCAAAAGAGTAAAAAGGGAACCAAACCTGGCATCACTGTATGCACTCCCCAATATGCAAACTAACACGTTTGCATGGAACCGCATCCATTTAAATCAGTGAGCATCCTATTTTCTGAATATAGTAGAATAGTCTTCTAAAACTAGATGTTTGAATTGCTCTGCAATCAGAGGAAAAAAATCTATTCTACTCAAAATGGAACATTTATTACATTTCCACTTTTTATTGGTCACATCAAAAAGTGTAAAAAAAAAGCAGTCATTATTGGAAATAGGGTTATTTCTTGGGAATTGTAAAGATAATTTACAGTTCAGTTTAACAAATTCTGGTAGCATTTTTGTTTGCTTTATCACATGAAAATTTAATGTTGTGAGACAAGGGTATTTTTCCAGGGCAATGGCAAACTTCACTTAAACATAGGAATTTGCTTTATTAGTGTTCATTTTAAGGTGAGTCAACTGTATTATAACAATTTGTTATTATAATTTGTTATGAAAGTATATATTTTTAATATAATTAACTACTTGATAAATACATTCAAATTATGTCAGTTTACCCAACTTCACTGCCTGTAACCAGTGTTCTTCTTCTCCAATGCAGAGGACTTTGCAAATGTTTTCGAACCTAATGTGGTTCTTCTTCAGTTGCTATGAAATTCCCTATATAAATTCGAATTTCCAGTCTAGAATTAACCATTGCTTTGGAAAATCTTTCTGGAACATTGTCACGTGTAGGGAATTCGATCCCGTTCCTTATTTCTAATCCCGGGATTTCGGGATTATACTTATTCAATCCCAGGATCATTTCGGTATTGAGGGTTAATAAAAAATAAGAAAATCTTACAGAAATCAAAAATCAAAATTTAGACAAAAATCAACGTATTTTATGATATACACCTAGTTAATTTAATCACTCTAACTAATCAGACTTAGAGTCAGACTAACCAGACTTAAAATCACTGTTTCATGTTAAATTTATTCTTTTTTAAGCATCACTGAGATCTCTTTAAACTCACATAAATTGAAAAAACCTTTATGTAACAAACTATGCAAATAAAC